AATGGCACCTCTTCTACCAATCCATCGATCTGGAAACGTCTGATCTAAATTTTGTCGAACACGTAATGCGTAATGTGGTGGAGCACCATCCTGTTGGGACATCAACCTATTCGTAATGTACCGCCGATCATTCTCATTTTCAATTATGGCTGTTAATGCAGGATCTATGGCGTATTCCAGTAATTCCAAATACATTTCACCAGTCAAATTCCCAGGTAAGAAAAAAGGACCAACTAAATGATCTCCAAAAATGCCAGCCCGAACATTTAATTTTTGTGGCCACTGTGTATGAACCTCATGATAAATTCTGGGATTACAATCGGACCAGTATCGGCAGTTATGACGATTTACTACGCCATTTAAGAAAAAGGAACATTCGTCGGAAAAGCAAGTTTTGAATAGAAAATGTTCATCGTTTATAATTCGTTCACTGATATCTTCACAAAATTGTAATCGTCGATCAAAATCGTCTTCATTAAGTTCTTGTACCAGGTGAATTTTATACGGATCAAAACTATGGGCCTTTAGAATCCGTTGGACAGTACGTCGACTAACACCACACACAGTCTCCAATTTGCGGGTACTTAACGTAGGATCTACATAAACTTGCCCTAAAACTCCTACTTCTATTGCTTCGTTCCTTATGGGATTTTCAATGTTGCGTTTTTTATTGGCGACTGACCCAGTTTCCCGAAATTTAGCTACAAGTTCTAGAACACAACATATTTTCGATGCCCGTTACTGTTTTCATGTCGCTCATTAAATATTTCTACTGTTCTATTAGCGCACTGATTATTTCCGAACAATATTTCGATAATTTCAACTCTTTCTGCTGTGGAATATACCATGGTTAATTTATGTAATAAAGCGTTACAAGTTATTTTAGCAACAAAGTTTAGTCAAATCAATCGCAAACTGTGTACTAAATTCCTATTTAAAATAAGTACGAGATATTTCCTTATCTTTCTTCAAGAAATATTAACTTTTTTGCCACAAAAAAACGCTCCAATAGCTATTTTTAACAACACAATGATAAACAAACCATGGACGTAGTGAAGAAAAGCATTTACTTATTAAGTAAATTCATTTAGTAAAATTTCTTCTGAAAGTAGTACAAACTAATCTGATGTACCTATTAAAGTCTACTTTAAGCTTTAAATCAATAAATCTTCAAAACTACTGAACTGAAGTACATTCATTTTATATCATTATAAAGGGAATTGGAAGACCTCTAAAATAAGGTATCACCCGAGCCCCCTTTACATTTAAGATTTTAGGGTTGGTGTCACCCCCGCCCAGGGGGCTGCACGAGTGAACGTGATTTTTTGCCAAACTTGTGTCCCCCTCGAAAACAAAATAGACTGGTCTGAGCGTTTTTCCAAAAAAAAAACTGAGCTGCCAGTAAATGCGTCTGTTTCGTTTTAGATGCGCCACCCTGTATATTTGTGACATCATCTCAAAAATGAGCGCTGACAGGGAACAGTAGAAAACTGTGTAAATCAAGGAGGCCTCCAATTGTAGGAACGACTGACATATGGCCCTTAATACATTATTTTATATAGTTTTAAAAGTATATTTGTATATTTGGAATTTAAAAGCACAAATTGCATTTTACTGAATTATGTGCATTACAACTGTGCTCTAGTAAATCCGAGATAATAAAAATTTGGAGACCTTGATATTGATATAATTATTTTCATCGCCGCAACGGAGGAATAAATTGTCTGTGAACTACCCTGTCACTCAAAATTTTACCAACTAGACCTACCTCATCTTGTGTCCATCAAGTAAAAGATGAAAAAACAAGCCATCCCTACCTAGTCGTAATCCAGCGTGGTCTCTGGATCTGAATCGATACCCAAAAAAACACCTGGTGGCCTCTGCACGGTGACAAACGTCTGCATTTCGTCTGAATAGCGGCCTTCCACCAATTTCAGATATCAGTTGACCCTACAGTTTTTTCTTTAGGGTTGTGTACCGTGCCTTGCTGCATTCTTATTGTGGCAGACTAGTTTCGGAAGAATATAACGATACTCGGAAACCGGTGGAAGTTACTCGACGTTGTTGACAGTTCTTCAACTACATCATAAGTTTTAAGAATAAAATATTAATACATAATGTGGTGCGTTAGGCCGCAGTTTGAATCTTGTCAAATTGTATGTTAGGTATGTTGTCAGTTTTGTTTCTTTCTAGATCCCTTGATTTTTCTAGAATGTGGTCTTCACGTGTTACTGGGGCATACAGAAAAATCCAAATTTACTGACGAGGTAATGTGCACGAGACAGACGCGCGAGCAGTTTGCAATACGTATGTTAGAAAGAGTGCGCTCATGATTCGGATTGCTAGGCAACCTGATGCTCTTTCATGCCATCGTGCTCCTCTCTCGTACACATTACGATGTCAGTGGTACAGTAAAAATCACGAAAGATGACTATTACGTCATATAAAAAATTATACTGAAGTAATCAATGGACGTATGTCGATGATAAAATCATGATGTCGGGAACATATATTATGACAATTAATTTATATTATGATTTTTCGAAGTTAGGTTATTTCACTAATTATTTTTATTTTCATTTTATTTCATGGTTTTAATAATAATTTTAGTGGGAAGTTTTTGTTTTGAAAAAACAGTTATGAGTAGAATACACCCTTAGACAGGAACACCAAAGGCCAAAGTATTTTTCGAAAACAACCTAACCTGCTTTAACATAACCTAACCATTCATCTTTCAAATGTGATCGATCATGCAACATGAAAACATCATCTATCTTCATTAAAAATATAGAAAAATCGCTGTCGTTTGTCTTTACTACTGACTAAAATGATGACGTAATCGTCATCTTTCGTGATTTAGACTATATATATGGTACATCATGGTATTCTCTTGAGTAAGCTCAAATTTTATGGTCTTTCTGATAAGCCACTACGTTTCTTCAATTCGTATTTGCGCAGTCGTACCCAGAAGGTGAAAACACGTAAGGGATTTTCTTCGGCAAGGAGTGTTGCATCTGGCGTACCTCAAGGCTCTGTGTTGGGACCATTACTCTATTTAGTTTATACTTTTGATCTACATACTTGCCTTCAGCACTGTAATATTCAAACGTATGCAGATGACACGCAGCTAACTCTGTCTTTTGATTCTTTGGACATGCATGAAGCATCATATAAATTGAACTTAGATCTAGTTAACATTGAAGAGTACTGCAAAAGACATTGTCTGAAGATCAATGCTTCAAAATGTTCCACCATGCTATTTGGCCCAAAACATTTAGTACAACGGTTAGATGGCACAATTGTTCCTAGTCTTAACGAAACCCATATTCCTATAGTAGACCATGCGAAGTATTTAGGGATCACCATGGATTCAGATTTGAGGTTTAAGCAACATGTTACGCATTTATCTCGCTTAATATACATGCGTTTGAAGATATTATACACCAATCGCCATATTCTGAATTTCAAGACTCGCAAAAAACTAGCTGAGACTCTGGTTCTACCGTTAATAAATTATTCAATTGCTGTTTACTTTCTTTGTCTTGATTACGTGACTAGATATCGAGTACAAAAAATTCAAAATAGCTGCTGTAGGTACGTTTGTGGTCTGCGAAAGTTTAGCCATGTGTCTAAGAGGATCAATGAGCTTAGATGGTTAAGGGTTGACCAGCTTTTCACATATAATTTACTAATTTTAGTACAACGAATAAAAATCAATAGGCTACCTACTTATCTACTAAAAAGGCTGGTACCACGTGGGGATCTCAATTACAGGAATCTCAGACATAACTCTGACTTCAATATACCTAGTTATAGGAGCAACATTTTCCATAGTAGCTTCACCTACAACGCTGTCAAGTTGTATAATAGTCTTAATGACAATTACAAAAAGAAGAGAATACTTGCATCCAAGAGAGCCATTAAGAACCATCTTCTGGGGTCTGCTAGCCAAGCTGGCTGATATATATATATATATATACGTATATATATTGTCTTTATTGTTTTTTTTGTTAGAGCGGGCTATGTAGAATAGATGTACAACATATTAAGATTAATCTATTTAAGCCTTAATTATTGTATACGTATATATTATTTAGCCGATTGCTATTCATTGTTATCTTTCCTTTTGTGTGTTCCTGCGCTGTGAGGTTAAGTGGTAGAGTAGCCAGCTGGCTAAACTTCGACTCGCAGTGTGGATGGATTAATAAAGACATTATTATTATTATTATTATATGTATTTCTCTGTATAAGGTGGTGTGTAGTGGAAAAGTAAGGCTAGGTAAGTTTTATGAGTTTTTGAGTAAATAAAACGTGAAAAAGCGAGAAGTATTTCATTTGAATTGTGGCAAGAAGTGGTCATTCGTGAAAATATTAATATAGAGATGCAATCAAATAATCAGAATATCAAAAGTTTGAAAAGCCAATGATGTCAAAATTGAAAAAATGGAGTAGAGTCGGTACGTTCCACACAAGTTTAAATGACACGTTTACTCCAAATCTAAGTATCTAGATCACTGTGGTTGTTTTGCTTGTGTTCAATTCATTTATGTAGCGATGGATGCTCTATTACGGCATACAGACAACAAGTGAAATGCAGATCCAGACTAGTCCTTCTTCTAGTGACCAAAAAAGTATTCAGTCGAATATCAGATAACACACAAATGTATTCGAATAGTATTTGAATAGTATTCCAATATCAGCCAAATGTAGTCTAAGTAGGATTTAAAATACCGAGTATTCGAGTACTACCAAAGTGTGGTTCGAACTGTAAAGATCTCAGTTCGCCTTCGCAAGATGACTAGACATCTTTATCATTTTTCAGAGAACTATTGGAAATGTTGAAAATTGATAGTGAGAACATAATCGGCTTTTGTGAGAGGTGCTGTCAGTAAGTCTGGCAACATTGACCAGGGTGTTTAGAACGCGCGTCTTGGGGATCGTCTCGGCACGAGCCAGGTCCTGCATTTCCGCGTGTGAATATGATGGATGCTGTACCGTACCGCTTTCTTCTTACGGCTTGCCCTCTGTTGCTGCGCTGGATCTGGTTTTATGCGGCTGATGTTCAGAGTAGGCGCAGGCAGGGACGCAGCATCTGAAAAATACAGTATTCGATTGTCTCAATTTGTGCGACAATGCAGAAGTTTTATGATATTTAGGACGGAATAAGTAATAACGTACGTCTATAAATATATAAAAATTTCTGATATTTGTGAAAAGCTGGCTAGCCTGGACTTGTCAAAGGGACCGGGTCCTGATAGTGTGAGTGCATTGTTTCTTAAGAACTGTGCTTTCTCACTGTCTAGGCCTTTATGGATTTTATTTAATAAATCTTTAGCCCTGGGAGTTTTTCCAAAGAAATGGAAAACCTCCTACATTATTCCAATTTTTAAAAATTGTGGAAATCGAGAGAATGTTGAAAATTACAGGCCCATTACACTGATATCGTTAATTCCAAAGGTTTTTGAATCATTTGTAGCAGATTTTTTGAAGGAAAAATTTAAAAATGTTATAATTGCACAGCAACATGGTTTCTGTGAAGGAAAATCTATAACTTCTAACCTTTTAGTTTATCATTCACATATAGTTGAGGCATTGGAAAATGGGCAATCTGTTGACTCAATTTATACAGATTTTGGGAAAGCATTCGACAAGTTGAATATAGATATTCTCATTGAAAAGCTCTCTTGTGACGGATTGCATGGAAGTTTATTGAACTGGTTAAGTTCTTATCTTTCTGAAAGAGAGCAATTTGTAAAAATTAAAAACTGTCTCTCAAATCCAATTGCGGTCTTGTCTGGTGTACCACATGGTGCGCACTTGGCACCCATTTTATTTATAATTTTTGTCAATGACATAGCCCAATGTTTTAAATTCTGTTCTTTTCTTATCTATGCTGACGATGTCAAGATCTATTTACCTCTTTCTGATAATAACTCAACATTAAAGATTCAGAGTGACCTTGATCAATTTGTTAAATGGAGTGAAGAAAATAGAATGATCCTTAACACAGACAAATGTAAATACATTCAATTTTCAAAGTCTAACAATAATATAGTCAGCAGTTATCACATAAATAATACCCAACTTCAAAATGTGAATGTTGTTAAAGACCTGGGTGTTATATTTGATAGCAAAGTAACATTTTATCAGAACATAGAGGTTATAAGAAATAAAGCTTTAAAAATGTTGGGCTTCATAAAAAGAAATACATCTGAATTTACTAACATTGGAGCTATAGTAACTCTCTATACTTCACTGGTGCGATCTCATCTAGAAAATTGCAGCAGCGTGTGGTCTCCATATTATGTAACTTATCAGGACATGCTTGACGGGGTTCAGAGAAAATTTCTACGATATATAGCTTACAAAAAACACATTTCTATTGAGAATTTAGACTATAATGCTCTTGAAAAGGAGTTAAGGATTGGATCCCTAAGAGCCAGGAGAGATTCAGCAGATATTGTTTTTGCTTATAAATTAATTCATGGTGTTTACCACTGCCCAGACCTGCTTCTAAAGCTAAATTTTTATGTTTCTCCTAGGCATTTAAGAGAACGCAGATCCTTTGAACCTTGTCGGCATAGAACTTTGTATGGCTCGAATAGTAGCATGGATAGGATAATGAGAAATTGTAATGACTGTGATATAGACCTTTTTAATACTTCACTATGCTCTCTCAAAAAGTTCCTTAAAGATTGAAATCTTAGCTAAAGTTTTAAAATGTCTTAATTGCTGGTGATGTTTGCTGTGTTGTTTAGTTGTTCAGTTTTTTTAGTTTTTTTTTTTTTAGTATTTGTTTGTAACTATTTTTATGCACGTTTTAATATTTTAATATTTTAATTTAGTAAATTGTCAAACTTTATGTTCATATGTTAGATACTTTATTTATGATGTGTGTGAATTTTATTAGGTTAAGATTGTACTTGTACAACCTGTAACCGAATGGGTTTATCCCGTAAATTTGTAAATAAATAAATAAATAAATAAATGTTAACCTTCGGCCCGATTTTACTACAGTCTCTCGGGGATTAAAATTTGCTAGTGGGCAGTAAATACATAAGGCGTTCTTGAAGTAAATTTTTTTTAAATATCTCAACTAGTTAAAAATTAAGCAATTTGTGTAATCCCCATATTAATTCAAGAAATTCTTTATTAGTCACGGAACTTGCTACTGTTTACATGGGAAGGTATGTTTCTGGAACTTTGAAAGTGTAAGCCTTTCCATTTCTAGAGATAAATCGATATTTTTTCAAACACTTGTTTCATTTTACTTCTCATGCCTACTGGCGAGGAAGTATTGTAATCGCATTTAAACATCTCGAAAATGAGATATTATGTTAGAGACTATGTGACTTGTACATCATGAAAAATCCTGTCACTCATTTCCGTTAGTCTGCCTGTCTGTCCACTAATTCTATGCCCGTCAATAACTTGGGAAGCACTGCTCAGCTTTTGAACAAATTTTCACTCAAGGTTACTATTCGGCCAAGGACGAAAAAGCTTTACAGTTTTTGAAACTCACTCCAGTAGGGCGGAATTAGGGGCAAAAACACAAATAAATAAAAATCGCGCAAACTCTATTTTTGGACGTTTCAGAAGGTCGTGGTCATTTTCAGAAATAATTTTCATAGAGATTAAAAATTTTGATTGTTATGGGTAGGGGATGGTATATATGTCAATTTATTGATGTTAATATATGTATAGGTTCCATTTCATAGATTTCCCCATAAATTTGCTGTTAAGACTATTAGACAAAGGTTGTCGAAAAGCGGCTCTGCTTCTGCTTCCTGTGCTCATCGGCAGGCGTGCCGATCTCTATGAGTCTCCTTCTATTACTGTGCTGCCGCGTCGTGCGGACTGGTATGTGAGGGGGAGGGAGGACGATGTTGCCAGTTGGATGGTACTACCTTTATGGACACTGTGTCTTTTCAAGCGCTTGTATAGCGTTTAGCACACGGTGTCAATATAAATAAATAAACAGATAAAAACGCCTTTATTTTAAACTCGGCAAAGGCCAGCTATGCTGTTAACTTAACTGAGCATGTAAAAAGTAACAACAAGCCAAAAAGAAGAGTAATATGACAAGAAACAAGTTTTACATTACATTAATTTTAGAATATTACATAACAACAATGAACAATCATAACTACAGATGTACGTATACAAAGAAAATAAGCAATAATAAACAACTTATACTTCACAGAAGCAGTTGTTTCAGTTTTCGTTTGAACATATTAGGAGACATATCTTCAAATTGACCTATATTGTATTGGTTTAGAAGTTTGACTGATGTATAGGAAAATGAGCTTTGAGTCATGGTTTTAGTTATTTTAGTTATTTCATAAAGTACATTAAAGCGTGTTGCACGAGAGTGAATCAGATTTCTACGAGTTAATTTTTCAATCAGATATGGAGGGCTTTTAGTTTTAATCAATTTATGAAAAAGCAAGCAATATGCAGCTTTTCTCGATTGGAAACATTCAACCATTTCAGTTCGGAAAGTTTATGACTGACATGATCGTGACGTCTAAGTTGGTAAATAAGTCGTATGCAAGAATTCTGCACTTTTTGGAGTTTATCCTTAGTAAATACATCTAAGCAAGGACCATACACAAAGTTGCAATAGTTAAGGTGACACAAGACCAGTGCTTCGCAGAGATCTTTTTTTAACCTAAAACTAAGAATATCTTTACTTTTGTAAATATTGCGAAGATTAAAAAATAGGCTTTCTGTAGAAGCCTGGACACATGATTTCGGAATCTAAGCTTGTTATCAAAGATAACGCCCAAATTTTTATATTCCTCAACAACCGGTATTGCCACACCATCCATTGCTATCACCAAGTTTACAGACGCCCAATCTTTAGCTGGCCCAAAGTAGATTATGGCTGATTTATTAGGATTCAATTTCAAGCCATGATTAAAAGGGTATTTAAAAACTGAAAACAAACACTCGTTTAGCCTCCTAGCCGCTTCAATTGCTTCCGACTTAGCAAAAGAAAGCTGAATCTGTGTATCGTCAGCGTATCTATGATTGTTTATATCACCAAAGCACTCCGACATATCAGCAGTAAAAATGATAAAAAATAAAGGACCCAAAAGTGATCCCTGAGGAACTCCTCTATCCACGTTCAAGGGTTTTGATTTAAACCCATCAATTGAGACCGACTGCGATCTGTCATCCAAATAACTACGAATCACAATACTTATTGAACTTCTAGTGTTCCTGTTTCAGTATAATAACCTAATTTAATATATAGCAAGATGTGTCTAATTATCGAAAAGTCTTGCATAGTTGAAACCCCGGCCTCTTTAGCAATTTGAGGCTTTACAAATTTGATCCAACGAACTTTGAATATGTATTATACGGCTAGTGCGCAAGGCTGACCTCATAGTTTTGTGGGCCCTGAGGCGAAGAATTAAATATGCGCTCTCGCTCAAACAAGGGTTGATCTAACGTTTGAGTTGTGGAAGCGGTGGCTGTTTTAAGGGGGTAGCATGATTCATGTCCACGGGGGAGGGTGGATATCGGCGAATGAACATTGGCTAACCTACATCAGTGCTTATAAGAGGTAATGTCTTTCTGATAACTGAAGAGCGAGGAGTTATATAGCGAGAGCCCCTCGTATATCTTCCTAATCGGTGTACTTATATTTTAAACAACCCTATGTTATATATTGATGGTTGTGCCCTTCAGGCATCAGTTTAATCCTATTACTCTTCAATTGAACTCACTTAGGTTAGGTTTGCTAACATATCGTTGTTAGTCGAAACATTGTATTTATATTAGAATAAAGTATCAAATCGCTTGTCAGTCGTTTTTAAAAACGCGATTCCGCGACGCGATACCATCATTGAGCGGAGCAGGATGGCATGACTGATGTGTTGTGACTCCAATGATCACCCTGGTCCGCCCTTGACAGAGAATTTTGACGTTGAAATTTAAAGTCACTGGACTAGTCAAGTAATTACCAGTACGAGGTATCTAGTTCATACTTCAGCTGTCTCTCGAACTATGCAATATAGAAATTATTGTAGGTATAAAATTCAACCACTCAACCAGTTACACGAACCATTATAAGAGACCAAGGAAAACAAAGAAAAACCTAACCTCCTAAGAAGACATTACAATACAGCCGTATCGTAATAATAAAGCAACCATCCTCAATAGACCCCCTACGAGCAAGAGATTTTTAGGATGGCTCAAGTGGAGCGAGAAGCCAAAGAAAACGATCCATCCTCCAAATTAATATTTAAGGGTTGTTCGGGGTCAGCTCACGCTTGGTTGGTTCAAAAACGCAGTGAGCTGGGGCCAGGCAGGCTGATGCACGACTAATATGCTGCTGGACGCAGCGATTCTTCTGTTTGGGACGTTTGTGCGGGTTCAGCCTTGCGGAAAAGACATGCCAGACGCACAGGGTGACAACCGGATGAAAAAATACAGTACTTAAAACATAATACAGGCTGCGTTGGCTAAAAATGGAAAAATTTGCTACAAACAGACGAAATTGTTGTTTGAGGCTTAATGTTTCTATTAGATAGCGCCTAGTGAACTAACTAAATTTTGTTGATATAGAATTGCACTTAGTGAACCATTTTATTTACAATAGATACACAGGCGGCGGTTAAAAATTGGGATACTATATTTTGTATTTTATTGTTTACTCATATTTTGATTCCACTATGTATTAATACCCCAAAAAACATTATTATATATATAAATATATGAGTATGTTTAGTACAAGTTAGCCTCTGAGATTAAAGTTAGCTAACAAAATTGAAACAAAAGGATCAAGTGAGCCAAACAGGACCATATAATTAGACCTTAGTGCTTACCCATTTGACAACGTTGCGCTCTAGAAATTTCTTTCCTGTCTATATTGACTATCATTCAATATTACGAGGGATGTCTTTTAAGTTTTGCATATAGAAAAATAGTAGGCCGCACGGATCGAACGTCAGTACTGAATCTTAACCTCACTCTTTAGTAAACTTAAATTCAAAGTTTCACAACAATACGTGTTCTCACTACAGTGAATTTTTACCGCGTCATTAGAAAAATGGAACTACACCGAGAACATTTTCGCGCCATAATTTAAATAAAACTTTCAGAGACAATTATCGCAACAAGAATGCCTTGCTGAGTTACTGTCAGTTTTCGGCAACAAAGCGCCACATCAGTCGACAATTTCCCGTTGGTATGGAGAATTCAAACGTGTACGGGTGAGTCTTAGCGACGATCCCATGGAGGGTGCACCAAAAACTGCAGTCACCCAGGAAAACGTCGATGCTGTGCGCAAACTCATAATTGAAGATAGACATGTGACATATCGAGCGCTTGAGGCGTCCTTGAAGATCTCAAAGACCTCATTCAAAAAATTTTACATTAAGAATTAGGAGTAAGAAAATTAGTTTCTCGTTGAATACCCCACCTGTTGACTGAAGAGCAGAAAGCAACCAGGGTTAATTGGTGTCAAAAAACGCTTGACCATTTCAATTCCGGAAACTTAAATAATGCATACAGCATTATTAGTGGTGATGAATCGAGGATTTACTGTTATGAACCAGAAAATATACGACAGTCGGCTGTTTGGGTGTTCCAATGTGAAGTAAAGCCAACAAAAATCATCCGTTCTCGAAGTGTTTCGAAAAAGATGGTCGCGAGATTTGTGTCAAAAGCGGGTCATACTGCAACAATTCCTCTTAATGAGCAAAGAACTGTTACTGCGGATTGGTATACCACCATTTGTTTGCCAAAAGTCATCACCGAACTTCGAAAAATCAACCCCGAAAGAAGAATCATCCTCCACCAAGACATTGCAAGCTCGCACACAGCCCAAAAAACAAGGCAGTGTTTAACGGAAAAAAACATGGAATTATTGGACCATCCTCCATATAGTCCTAAAGATTTCTTTACTTTACCGAAAATTAAAAACAGACTGCGTGGTCAAAGGTTTCAGTCATCAGAAGAAGCAGTTGACGCATTAAAAAATACCGTTTTGGATCTGCCAGCAAACGAGTGCGATAAGTGCTTCGAAAATTGGTTCGAGCGCATGCAGATGTGTATTAATGTTCGTGGAGAATGCTTCGAAAAACAATAAAGTCATTTAAAACTACCTACCGTGTTGTTTTATTTCCATATGCAAAACTTCAAAGACATCCCTCGTATTTGCTACGACTAACCATCGGTCAGGCATCATCCAGACATCGACGGAGGTATGTCTATGTTCGTTGTGCTGCTGCGACGCGGGTGTTGAAAATATTTCTGTATCGTCCTAATTTTAATTTTGAATCTAAGCGATGCCTATTTGAGCTGAAATATGCCTAATATGCTCGTACGATTACTGTGGTTGGACGCGTATAAATATTCTAACTAGCGTTAGTGGTGTATTCCGAGCATCACTCAACCGAAACTTTTATTCATTATTATCCTCAGCGTACCTTGCTAGCGGTATTCCCTTACCAACATATGATCACGATAATAATTCAATAATTGTAATATCTAAATTTACATCATTTGCGCGCCCGTCGAACCATTCAAGTTCAAAAGACAATTGAGTGTGATACCATATTTCAACCCCACAAAACCAAAATCCATGGAGCGTGAATGCTATTCGAAACGCTTCTGCTGTCATAATAATTTTTTTCGGTATCGCTTGCTGTTCATTATGGTAATTTGTGACGTACATGACATATGCGACCGCAATTTATATTAAAAGGAAGTTTAATGCTCTGGTAATTTCTTGAATTACCTACAACATAAGGGGCGGAGATGTAAGAAATTACGCTTGACCTTCTTAATCGATATTCTCGAGGCTATATTCTATAAATGTCATGTTAGATCCCTACTATTTTTTAAGAAACAGAAAACGTTGCTTGTTTTTTGGGCATGTAATTTTGTACCATGTATCGGAGTCAAGATCAGTGCACTCAGTTTCGTTTAGGCCCCTTGTACATAGTCTTCGGGGGTAACTCAAGGCTGAATCATTCGAGGCCCCAGAATATTGGAGAAGGAGGTAATAGAACCCAGTGGAGTTTTTTCTTAGGCTAACAAACCAACTTATCGATAGGCAATAATTCTACCCCTGTCAAAGTCGCTAAGAAACTGCTTTCTTCACAAAACCTAAAAGATAACATTTTAACAAAGGTAGAAGAAAACAAAGATAAGACGTTGACATTGTTGCCACAGCATGCTTTAAATATAGTCATTATGTTGCCAAGTTGAAGAAATTATTTTTTATAGTCGGCTCAAACTGTTGCATAAATCATGGAACTTTTGAGCCTGTAATGCCTATTTTCAAATCCACTCTTATAGATGTCTCCGCTTTCCTTATGTGCAAAGAAGTACTCAATTTGATTGTTGAGGATTGAGTTTCATGTTAATAATAGCAGAATAATTATTCATATTTTGGAGATCAATACTAATGTTAACCTCAGCGATTAGGGGAAACCTTAACAATAATAAGCAAACATACAGTGGAATCCACTTATAATCAACTTGCTTATAGTGTAAATTCGTATATAATGTACATGTAAGGTCTTATAAATAATTGCATGTAAAATCCTCGGATATTATAGACTCGCTTAAAATGGACCCTCGCTTTTAGAGGACTATTTTAATCCATTATTTGCGAGCTATTTTGGTAGTTCCCCGAAGCAGATTTAGCTGATGCAATCGTTTAGTGAGCTTGAGCAGGATTCATCTCAAGTAAATATATGTGCTCGTATGGTTATAAAAAATGTCAAATATTTGGAAAAACCGTGACAAAATTAAGAATGACTGGAAATCAAATAGTCAAAAGAAAAAATGCAGCTATCGCATCCCCAAGTCTGCTGTTTAAATGGTTTCAACAAAAGCGTGCTAATAATGTTCCAATAAGTGGACCTATGCTAATAAAAGCTGAACAAAGGCTGAACAATTTGGGAAATTGATTGGAGATTACTTCAATTGTAGTTCCGGTTGGCTAGACAGGTTTAAGAAAAGACATAACATTTTGGAAAAATATGTGGTGGGTCAGTTGACAAGAACGTTACCATTGACTGGATTTCTCAAGTTTGGCCAGCAATATCCAGTTATTATTCAGATGGTAACATATTCATTGTTTTTGGACTTAGCAAAGGCATTTGACACGGTATCTCATCCTATGCACCTCCAAGCACTGGAGGGACATGGAGTTAGGGGTGCTGTGTTAAGCGTATTTACAGATTATTTAATGCATAGGATTCAGTGTGTCAGGATTGCGGACGTTCTAAGTGAACCAAAGACGGTTCAGCATATTCCACAGGGTACAGTACTTGGACCGATTCTTCTTAATATATATGTAAATTACCTCTGCAGTCTTGCAGTCGATGGCGATGTAATTGCCTATGCTGATGACACCATAGTGGTGTTTCATGGAGAGATATGGGAATCAACGGGTGAAAAATTGAAGACTGATTTTGCAAAAATTAAAAACCTTCTGGACACATTTAAATTAACTCTGAATATAAAAAAAACTCATTACATTGCCTTCTCTATAACCATGGCTAATAGACCAGCATTTAATCAAATTAAACTTGATAATATAGATGAGCCTTTGAAAGAAGTGAATGAAATTAAATATTTGGGGGTTGTTGTTGATAAGCACTTGAAGTGGGATCGACTTGTGCTGTATTTGAGCAAAAAAATTAGATTTTTCATCCATAAATTCTACGCTCTTCGTAACATACTGAACATTAAACTACTATTAATGATTTACAAAGCACTTGTGGTGCCACTTTTGGTATATGGCATAATTGTGTGGGGTGGTATGTACGGTTCAAATCTTGGGCAGATAAAAGTGGTGCAGAACCATATTGTAAGGATTATTCTAAAAAAACCTAGACTATATCCCACTATGCAACTCTATTCTCAAATAAGCAATATTAAAATCTTATATATCCTTGCAGTATGTGCTTTTGTATATGCAAGTAAGAAATGAAATACAAATTATGTGTCACACATTTATATGACCCGAGCAAACACCACTCATAATCTGAACGTGCCGCAGTGCAGTCGAGTTTTAAATTTTCGTTTTGTGACATATCTTGCACCTAAATTTTACAATTTGATTCCTGCTAATATCAGGAATATTGGAAATAATAAAAAAAATTATGTTTCGTTTAAAATGTTCTGTTGGGAAAATCGTGAACAATCTATGCGTTTATTTTAAGTTGCTTTGAGGTAGATTGATCTGCCTATTTGTTTTTTTTTTATTTCTTTTTGATATAATTGTGACAATTCTTTTTTGTGATCTTGAGTTAAATCTATGGCTTACAACAAATAAATGAAATTTTCTTTCATTTTGTCTATATCGTGTTTCATGTTTTGTTTGTATTGTTGAGTGATTTTATACAAAAATATATATTGCACGATGTTTATCAATTAATTACTGTTTTGGACTGTTTTTGCGCATACAAGTTTTTAAACTTAGGCGCTCATATATTATAGTAAGACCTTGTTTTTGTTTTGTTAATGTCTAGATATATATTATTTTTATATTGGTGAATTTGGGTTTTGCTGAATAAATGTGGTAGAGTTCATAGCCTATTCTCTCCAACAACCAACCAACCAACTTGTTAAGAAAAATCATAAAATTTTGCTCTTGGTCGATAACTGCCCTGCTCATCCAAATATTTCACTTAATGACATCAACCTTCAATTTTTTCCATCCAATGTGACATTAGTTCTGCAACCAACGAAGCAGGCTGTGATTTGGAGCCTTAAACAACTGTATCGGAAACATATGTTGATGAAAATTATAGAGCTTCAAGAAGATGTCAACATTACCAAAGTTGAGTCCATTTTAGATGCTATAAATTTGCTAACTATTGCATGGGAATTGGTTACTTCAGAAACGATTCGTAATTGTTTTCGCCATGATGGTTTAGTGAAAAACATAACTGAAATATTCCATTAAGTGATCTACTGAAAATTAATAGTTTACTGAATATAGACAAATTTAATGAGTACGTAAATGTTGACAATAATTTAATAGCAACAAAGGAATTGTCAGACTTCAATTTGGTTAATGAAGGATTCGTTGTCAACGAACAGGCAGACGAACTAGAAAACAAACGATGAAGAAGAGCTTCCAGCGACAACTAAGGAGGCATTAGACTGCGTGAAAAAGTTGCAACTTTATTTTCAGCAAGAAGAGTCACACTTACCAAATTAAATAAAATTCAACTTGCTGTTCTAAATAATTATACAAAAGAAACAATGTGTTCAAATGAAAATTACTAGCTTTTTTACCAAAAAAATTTACGGTTGTTACACATACCTACACAGTACGTATTCCTGTAATATGTGTATACAGATTCTGAAAAAATGCAAATTTCAAAATTATGTATAACTTTTTTGTATGTATCTTTATTTATGTAATACATCTTAAACAATCACATTTTAAGCTTTTAATATGTTATTTCTGCTACTTTTTTCATTAAAAAAAAGATGGTCATCTGGCTATAATAGATTATTTGTCACGCTCCCGCCGCGTCCATTATAAGCGGGTTGCACTTTACATTTGATTTCGGAATTTATAATAGTCTTTTTCCAGTTTGAAGTACTAATTTCGTGAAACAACCCAATTCACAATTCACTTACCCTCAACGGTAGGCAGATGCAAGTCGGCTTGTTGCTTGCCTGGCCGAAAAAAAAGCAGGACCAGGAAGGCATTGTCCTTCTGTTATTTTAAGAAATCCCTGGGTTCCTTTATCTCAAACCACGGACCGTGCGGCAGCAAGGTACAGTCTCCATAAATTATTTTAACGGTTTGATTATAATAATTTCACAAAGGGAAGGATACACAAGGCCTCCCTTTAATGTACGAGGAAAGCGGCACTAAAAAAAAAAGTAAGACAAAAAAATATGGGTGACGGTGATTGTAAAAACAAGGGATAGATGACGCAGTTTTGGTGGATCTTCTTTTGTAGAAAAGTTAAGAGCTACAGTCTGGAAAAATTAGATAGTAATTTCTGCAATATTAGAAGTCATAGGACGGAATCGCATACACTAATAAAAACAGTGTATGCAAAATTAGGATTTTGAAAGCTTTAGGTGCAAATATGTTGGCCCAACTAT